AAATTAAAAATAGAAGGATTTTACTTGAGGAGACGAGAGATCCACCTGATCCCTTTTTTTCATAATAATTTTATTTTTTCAATATAATGTATAAATTTTATTTTCGAAAGATTCTATAGTTGTATGCATGAACTTGGAGTTTAGACTATGTTTTTAATTTCCTGTCTTCTATCACTAATTTCAAAATTTTTGTTTCTCAAACAAAAATCTCATATATTTTTATTTTTTTTTAATAAGAGCACGTCATATTTTACTATTTTTTATAGTCATGGCATGCAAACAATCACAACAACATAAACAGTAGTGAGGAGTCAAGTTAAAACCTGTCATAAGAGACCGAGATATGTTCTTTGTCAAATTCAGTGATGCTTGCAAGTTGGTGATGTTTGGTTTGGTGTCTCATGTTTTGTTCTTTTCCAGGCTTGGTGGGGCTTGAGTTTTCTAAAGGCTCACGTTGACGTCGTCCACTGCTGGTTGTCCTGTCGATGTAATTATACCATGCAGGCGATGACAAGGTTTTTGACTGAATAAGGACCGTTAAAGATTCTATAGTTGTAATCATGAACTTGGAGTTTAGACAGCGTTTTCAATTTACTGTCTTCTGTAACTAATTTCAAAATGTTTTTTTTTAAGCAAAAATCTCCTTATTTGTTTTACACTTTTACTATTTTTTATAATAATGATTATTATTAATACACAATAAGCAAATAATCATAATAACATAAGAAGAACAACAAGCATAATAACACAAATAATAGCAATTGATCGAGTTAAAACTTACCCATGAAAAACTAATATATGTTCTCTATCAAATTCTATATATGAAATGAAAAAGACTTCCAAATATGGTGGTGATTGCATGTGTGGTATAGTTATATTTTTAAAAAATTTATTAATATTTTAAATTATTTTTTTATGTTTTGAAATGTTTTAAGGTGCTAATATCAAAAATAAATTTTATTAAAAAATATTATTTTAATATATTTTCAAGTAAAAAATATTTTAGAAAGCAATCTCTATTAGTGGTGTAATATAAGAAATATCACTTTTTTTAAATTAATGAAAGATCTCAAATAATTAAATATTAACTTATAAAACCTCTAGTCAATTGATGGATATAAAATGTTTAATCCATAGACATAATTTTTATTATATAACTCTTAAATGATGTATGAATATATAATTTATATTAAGCTTTTAACACATAATTATGTAATTTTTAATTAATATCTTGTTAAATAACCATTTCAATTAAAAAATTAAAATTATTAGGCGTGATGTAATATATAATTTATATTATTTTTTAATATAGATTTTAAATCTTGTCTCAACCTCTTTGAAGGCTTTTAGAGAGTATCTGAGAGTGTGGTAGTGATTGTTTTTTAAAGTTTTTTTCATTCTAAAAAGATTTTTGATATCAGTATATCAAAATAATTTAAAAACATAAAAAATAAAATAAAATTTATTTTTTTTATTTTTTAAAAATAATTTTTGATATCAATATATCAAAATGATCTAAAAACATAAAAAACATATTAATTTAAAATAAAAAAATTAAAATTTTTCAAAAATACTTTTCATTTACAGTACCAAACACTGCCTTAACCGCTTTACCATCTTCATTTAAATTAAACAAAATTTTCAATCATGCATGTATGCTTTATTGGAGGAAATCCTTCATTTGAGGTCCATGTAGTTTTTTATCATGATAAATTTTATTAAATAAAATATTTTTTATTTATCAAACAAAGTTAACTAAGGTGATCTAGTAAAAAAAAACTACATAAATTAATTTAGATAATTATTTCAAAATAATTAATTTAATATATTATTTATTTATAAATTCATTAAATCAATGATACTCCGCAAATCACCATGCCCGAATAAATCAAGTATTTGTTTACCTACCAGCAACTCCGAATCCATAAAGGTAAGAGTCCCTCCATACCCACCTCCATTTAAATAAATGGAAGCCGATTTGAATGGAAAAGGGCACAATTACCATCTTTATTTATTATCATTTTAGCCTTACAAGTCTGAGCTCATCATAATAATTTTATAAAAAATAAATAAATAATATTTAAGTTAACTCGAATTAATTTATTAAATTCGCGATTAAAATTATGAAACTATAATAACCCTGTTAAAAAAAACAAATTATAAAGCCTAATTTTTAATAAACTCATTGTTAAAGATTGAAAATGAACAAAATTTGATATAAAAATAGGATACAAGAAAACAATATGAGTTTATTCGAGTTAACCCACAAAACACATGACTTAAGTATAAAATCGAGATAACCTCATAAAAAGTAAACCAAAATAATTCATAGAGCCTAATTCATAATCAACCAAATGTTGAAAAAATAAAATAGAAAAAATCCCAATAAAAAAGTTAATAAAAACACGAATTAACTAAGTTAACCTGCCAAACCCGCAACTCAAGTAATGAGACTGAAATAAGTTTGTATAAAGCAAATCAAAATAAATCATGAAACCTAATTCTCAATCAACCTAATGCTAAATGATGAAATTGAAAAAAAAAATCAATTAAAAAAGAAAAATAAAACTGGAGTCAACCCGTTAAACCTGTGATAAGGGTTACAAAATTGAGTTAACCATATATATAAAACAAACCACAATAAGTTATAAAACCTAATCTCCAATAAACTAAATATTAAACTATAAAATTAAAAAATATATATATTTAGAAAAAAAAATAAAAAAATACTATTGAAATGAATAATATTTTACAAGATAATGCATAATAAAAGCACCATCTTTTTTAGTTTATACTAGATATTTAACTTGTGTTTCACAGCTAATTAGCTTTTTCTTTCTCAACAAAAAAAAAATTATATATAGAACTTTTCAATACTTTTCTGTATTTAAAAAAAATTGTACATATCAAACCTTAATGATTCACATATAAATAATTTCTTCTCATGTTTTGAAAATATTCTCGACCTTCAGCAACCAATTAGGCCACCCATCATATACAATCCATTGCATAAAACGATTCTAGAACCTCTAAGTAACATAGCAATGAATAAAAAGGTGATCAATGGTCTCAATTTCCATATGACAAAGAGAACAACAAGCATCATCATGACTAATAATTTTACTGTAGGCAAGAAATCTCTTAATGCTCAAACTATCCTGCAACAACAAGTACAGAAACATCTTAATTTTAGGAGGAAATATACATTGCCAGAGTAAAGTACCAAAATTCTTAGATGTTGGATGCCACATATCATCAATGAGAGCACAACCCGATTTAAGTGTGAAAATCGCATTCTTCTCTACCTGCCACACTCTTCTTCTATCAGCTGAATCAGAAATATATAAATTCCTCTCTATCCCAGCAGGAAGAGACTCCAAACGCTGACACTCCCTATTTTCAGCTTCTTGTATAGCCCCACATTTAGCATACATGTCAATGAACGCGTTTGCTATGATCACACTGATTCGTTGTGTTTTGTAACGATGATGTAGTTTCAATGGATTCACTGACCAAATTCCAAGCAATCCAATTGACCACAAGCAGAGAGCACACGAACTAATGTTCTCCATTGGAACAAACGCAGCCTCCAGCATGTTACAAACCATTCTAAAGCTTCCTTTGGGTGGTTACCCAGCAATCATGGCACTCCAGGAAACCACATTCCTCTCCGGCATCTCATTAAACGACATAAGATACTCTTGCAAAGTTCACATCTGCTCTCAGTTTTCAGGAGAAAGGTAAGTTTCCATCTCAACCCCAGCAAAATCCCAAGGGCAATACAATTCAAGTACAAGCAATTCCGGAAGCCAACATCTGGATCAAGTAAAATCAGTCACTACTCTGCGCAGTGGTAAGGTTATTGAAAAACCCTCTCTTGAACCTTATGAGAAAGATGATGAGTCAATCTCTGAGGGTAAGAAAGGGATTGAATTTGAAAATTGCAAAGAAAAGACTGATTCTCTGCCAGCACTTCCATTTCCTCAAGCCATGGCCAAACAAAGAAAAGTTAATCACAACTCTGAAATATTTGAAACTTTCAAACAAGTAAGGATCAATATACCTTTGTTGAATGTTATTAAACAGGTTCCTTCCTATGCTAAATTTTTAAAAGATCTGTGCACTGTAAAGAGAAAATTGAATGTGAAAAAGAAGGCCTTCTTAGCCGAACAAGTAAGTGCCATTCTTCAGAACAATAATGCTTTGAAATATAAAGACCCTGGTTGTCCTACAATTTCTTGCTTTATTGGAGAACATAAAATTGACAGAGCTTTACTTGATCTTGGAGCTAGTGTGAATTTACTTCCATATTCGGTTATTCAAAGTCTCAATCTAGGTGAGTTAAAACCTACTTCTGTTACTCTTTTACTTGCTGATAGATCTATAAAAATGCCTAGAGGAATAGTTGAAGATGTGTTAGTACAAGTTGATAAATTCATCTTTCCTGTGGATTTTATTGTCTTGGATACACAACCTGTTGAAGCATGCAATTCAATTCCTGTTATTTTAGGACGTCCATTTCTTGCAACTTCTAATGCATTGATTAATTGTAGGAATGGAGTGATGAAGTTATCTTTTGGAAACATGACATTGAAAATGAATGTTTTTAACATTTGCAAGCAACCTGGAGATGATAATGATTTACAGGAAGTAGATTTTATTGAAAAAATAATTTACGATCAATTTGAAAATTCTTCCAATGAAACTGAGTTTAATGAATCTGAAGATTTGCAAATGGTTTGTTTTCAGGAAGAATCAAAGGCAAATATTTGGAGACCAAAAATTGAGGAATTGCCACCACGATCAATTGGGTCCATACCTTCAAGTGTTCAACCACCAAAACCTGATTTGAAGTCATTGCCATGTAATCTCAAATACTCATTTTTGGGAGAAAATGAAACTTTTCTGGTAATAATTTCTTCCAAACTTAATGTTCATCAAGAAGATAAGTTATTACAAACTCTGAAAATGCATAAAAATACATTAAGATGGAATGCTAGCTCTAGCTCACCGCTTTTAGCATACCCATTAACCGTACTCGTCCAAGAGAACACATCTCTAACTCCCATGGTATCAAAGATCCCTCCTGCAGAATCCAAGCAGCCACATTTCACATACATGATGATTTACATTTCTAGTTTTACATATTCGTGAAAACTCTTCCCTAATCTCAAACCCCCCTTCCGCGAGCAAGCTGAACGAGCCGCTATCATAGTGACCTCTTCTGGCTCTACATTGCCCTCCACTCAAAAAGCTTCCAGGTCTCATCACAACAGTTTCGCTTAGAATACCCATCAGTCGTAGACAGAAAGTCCATCTCTAGCAGGAATTCCATCAAACAAGTGTCAAGCAAAAGCCAAACAACCACGCAGATCATAAAAACGAGCCAACCCATCTTGAAACAACATAGCAGAAACAAAACCCATCTTTCCAATACCACAATGAACTGATTTCCCTCCAAAAACTCTCAAAAACTGCTCGCCGCACGCTTTGGCTCCTGCAGTCCATTTCAGCGCCATTCTGAAGCATTTGGCAGAAAAACAAGAAGCCACTATGGCCCATTTTGGCTTCAGAGTAGCCTCTAATCATGGTATTCCAAATATAAGCACCGGGGTTTTGTATCTGCGAAAACAGAAGACGAGCATGATTTATATCTGCAGTGTGAGAGAGGGGCAAACGCCAAGGCAAGACTAACATGGAAAGAAAGCTTGGGGGTAGATTAGCCAGACTATAAAGGAGAAGGACTTATTTGTACTTGTTCCAAGATTGTGAGTCAAAATAATACCGCTTCTTTTCCTTCAAACGCAATCTCGTCCTACGTTCCAGGGAATCTTTTTACCTAATCTCTTAATATATATATATGAATGGCATCTTGGCTTAAGCTCCTTCAATTATTGCTTTCGAATTTTCTCATGGAATTGCTCTTTGTTTTTGAGGATCCAATTAATAAGAAAATCATGGAGACTTGGCTGTTGACCTCAACACTCTCGTCTGCTTTGACTTCTTTAATATCCTCGATGTGAACCAGGCTTGGAATATTGGGTGTTCTTGTTTTTGATACATGTAAAGAGGTAAGCTAAGCATCTCTTTCAAGATCTCTCTAGCTGCTGCAGCGATGCCAAACCGCTTTCTGTCTTCAATTTCCTTAGCAGGAGTATTGTATACCAACCAGCTTTCTTTGCGTTTTGCTACAGGTTTGGGGCAATTTTGATGCCTTTTGTGAATCCCTCCATCTGGGCTTATCAAAAGAGGAGGGGGAAAGAAGTAAGTTTCTCTTCTCAGTTTCAGTGCGTCTTTATTGAATTACTCTTACTATTCCCATTACGTTCTGTGAATTTTAAAGGACTAGGCATGTTTCAATTCAGTACTGAGCTACATATTTTCTTGATGGTTGCTTGCTTGCTTCAAACTTCTTTACAAAAGGGGGGAAAAAAAAAACTGTCCTCTTGAGACATCACAAAACCAATCAAACTTCACATAAACTAGGAAGGAAAGGGGAAGTTGGAATCTTGAGTTCACAGGCTAACGGCGGAGTCCAGGTTACAATTGCTCTGCTTAAACAAATCCGTTCAAGTTAGCGTTCTGTTTTTTCAATTGAAAAAGTTTGAATATATTGTTTGTAGGGTTGTAATATTTATATGTATAATTCTCAAAATATTAATTTAACGTAATTCAAATTTAAATTAAGCAATCCAAATTTTAAATACTAGTAAAAAAAATAGATGTTAAACCAGTATGACTCAGCTAATTTATGAGTCTAAAAATAATTTAAATAATTAATAAAAATATAATTTATTTTAAAAATATTCAAGATAATATATTTTTTTTTTAAATATTGAAGTGATAATATGTTAGATCAACTCACGTCATCCTGGTTAATTTTATAAATCTATAATCTGAGTTATGGGATCATAATAATATTAAATGAAACAAATTATAAAATTTAATTCTCAGTAAATTTATTGTTAAATAATAAAATTAAAAAAACTATCAATATAAAAAACATAAAAAAATAATGTTTTAAAAAAATAATGTTTTAAAATAAAATTATGAAAATATTATCGACAATTTTATAAGGTTTTTTTAAACCTTGATTGCACTAAATTTTTAACCTAAAATATAATAATATTATCACGTGATTTCTAGTAAAATTTTAACCTAATTCTATATTTAGATTGACAAATATGATTAATATTGTAAAATTAGATAATATTTTAAAAAAAAAAAAACAAAATTATTTGTCTAGAACGGAACAGGAAAGTAGTCCCAGCCAAAATTTGGTTGGAGTTCATGGAATGAACTGAGATTATAAGTAGGAAAAATTTGTTCTGGTTTATTATATTTTTTAAGCTAAACAAGATATACCGACTATTCTAGACTTAACGGAACAAATTAGACAGTCTCGGCGAGTGATTGTCATTAAAATTACCAGATATAAACGTAATTTGTTTATTTCAATATTTGTTATTAGCACATGTATAGTATATAACTCATACTATTAGAGACGGAATCTGATCACATATAATTAAATACATATTCAAGAAACGAAGAACAACAACATCTTTATTTAATTAGACTGGTGCTAATAACATTGATTATCACTACAAACACAAACATAAACACATACATATCATTCTTCTATCTGGACATGGCTGAACATGCAAAGCTCCATGCAAATAATAGCTAGTTAGCTCTTGTCACATCACCCCAAGCCTCCTCACCAAACAGCATGATACTCCTCTTAGCTTCAATCCTGAACTGTGACCCCAGGTTATGGTCATCCTCACGATGAAGAACAACCTTGTCACCAACTCTCAGTCCATAATAAGCAACAAATTTACGCCAGCCCTTAGAAAGTACTGGCTTGTCATAATCTCCATCTCTCTTCAGGCAACGAATAACTCGAAGCTCACCGCAGCTATCTTTAACATGCAAATCAACAAGATTATTTCCAGCAAAATCTAGATGCTGCAAGCAATGAGTTGGGAACGATAACCGAAAACGAACATCAGTATCGGTCAACTCTTTGCTGAAGATCTGCATTTTTTCTCTCAAGGGTCGTGAAAATTGAGAGAAATGGTTGCGTTTAAGCTATCTGCTGGATTGATAGTTTCTTGCAGCGAGCTTGTTGATTTATAATAAATAAAAACTAGCTAGCTACTGTATTCACGGTAGAAAGACATCGAGCGAGAGATTTCGGAAATCTTGTTCATTTGATCGATTTCGCATGGCGTTATTTAAATCTTGATGGGTTATTTGTAGATAGAACAAGAGAAACGCAGGCTTATGACTACGCTTCTTCAAAGACTACATGAGGCGGGAGGTACGCTCGTATTGCCTCTCGTGCACCTCGTTCGTTCTAACTTGCGAAAACCGAACACTTGCTGAAGATCTTGCATGCTTGTCTAAGTGTTTAGTGAGCTAGAGCATTTTGGGCAACATGGGCAATGGCCACGGACCCCATTTAATAAAAAAACTACAAGAATAAATAAGGTTTATTTTTCAATTATATTTTATGAAATGAAAATTGTTCTTTTCATTAGTAGACATACATGAAGAATAATAAATTAAAATATATTTCTTAAAAAATATATTTTAAAAGGTTTCATTTATAATTTTATCGAGGATCCCTATTCATTTTATGTCTGGGTCATGAACCTGGGATAATGTCCCCTCTTAAGAGACGAGGCTTTCACTCCTCACTTCAATTATCTAGGATCAGTATAACATTGAGCATTAACAAAAAAAAATAATTACATGTTTATGGAACTATTATTCATGCTCAATAATTTTTACAGTGCGTAACTTAAATATGAAAATGGAGATTTATATAATACATTGCATAAGATTTTTTACCAGTTAATTGTATTTTACCATTATTATTGGCTCTGTGATTTTAGATAAAGCTGGTTCTTGATCTTGCAGGCATGTGCTCTACGTCCGCCCAAAGTTTCATCAATCCGCAGAGAGGGGGAGGGATACATCCTGCATCATCTTGAGATTTCTGCGCGGCTTTTGTTCGGATAAGCAACAAGGTGCACGATATTGTTGAAGGGCAAATCCTTCCATGCCTGTCCAAAATTTGAAGTCATTTTCAATTCAAGGTCCACAACAAATTTTTTATAATATAATAATGCTAGAATTACGCTCGATCTCTGCAGCATGCATCGAGTAATCGATTTTGGATTTCGAGTTCCACTGATTTCAAATGCTACGGCGTCAGTGTTGTACACATGTAGCCCAAAGAATAAATTAGAAGGGTTTTGAAGAAATTTGCCACACGGGATCATGTCTGTACTATCGACCGAGACCGTCAGCACTGTGGGCGTGCAACGACGTTTCGACTCGGAGGAGGCTATGTGATTTCTTTTTCACAGGCAGCGGGTTTTTATCCCTTAATTTTCCCCAAAGGGTTCCTATTGATATTAGAAAGGATAGATAGTTTAGAAAGAAAAACTAAAAAAAAAAACATATTTATCCCTTAATCACATTTATTTTTATATTTTGTATTTCTCTCTAACCTGAAACATGTTTGTTCTTTTTATATTTATATTTGTACTTTCTATTTTAAAACAATAATCAGTGCATTAATTAGACAGACAATTACAATCCAATCACAATTAGTTTCACAATTTACACGGCTGAATCTTGAAACACCAGCCCAGTTATTGGCCATCTTAAGCTTCAAACGCAACTGCTGAAACCTTCTAGCTTCCTCTTGACTTCCACCTTGAAGTGCTTCACCGTTAATGCCATGATCATCCTCTTGAAAGAGTTACCACTTATGACCAGATTAATCCAAAACTGTATACATTGAGTTCTGTTCCAGCAGCATAGAGATGAAACGCACGTAACTGTTGCAAGGCATGTTCTTGAAACTTATTTTGGATAGAATTTGGCACCTTCTTGCCTGGATTTTACAATGATGACCGCACTCTCCCAGTAAAATCCTCTTCATCCTTCTAAGCATCAGCTTCCAGATCATGATAGGAATCTTTGAAATCCAGGTCATCATCTAGGAACTGGTTGCAGCTAACAGGCTCCATAGAATTATGAACCTCGGAACCTTTGTTCTGCCTCGTCGCTGTCCTTTTCTTTGACCGGCCAGTGCTTTTGGTGAATTCATCATCTTCTTCCATGTTCCCATTCAGAGCCTTGCTTGCATCTCTTCTCCTCTTTATTGAATCAGTACTTTCATTGCTACCGCTACTATTTCTGTCTCCCTTATTGTATTCCCTAATGGTAGATTCAATGGTTTCAAGCAATCGATCTCCATACTTACTGACCTTGGCCCTGAATATTGGAAAAATGTCCT